CCCACAAAATAAAAACTAAAGCTATGCTTATCAAATACATTGCCATTGCCAGGGAATGCAAAGCAGTTTGTACTTTAAAAGTGCGTTTTATTTTATTTATTTGTAGAGACAGGGTCTTGCTATCTTGCCCAGGCTGGTCTCGAACTCCTGGCATCAAGGTATCCTCCTGCTCTAGCTTCCCAAAGTGCTGAGACTACAGGTTGAGCCACGACACACAGCCGAAAGTGAGTTTCTACATCAGCTTGAAGGGAAGAAAGAGATTGGAGTTTTGCCTCTGGTTTCCTTTTTCCCGTCTTTCCCCAGGCCACATCTGCACGGAAGGAAAAATAGGGTCACAACATTAGTAGTAAAATGCTATTTATTTCATGCTACCCCATATGCATTATTTGAGGAAACTCCAGGCCTGCTTTTCTGGTGATCTATTGCATGGCATGGTGACTAGAGTTAATAATGTATTGCATATTTCTAAATAGCTAAAAGAATGGATTTTAAATGTTTTACTGCAAAGAAACAAAATTTTTTTGAAGTGATGGATGAGTTAATCAGCCTAGGTTGATCATTTCACAATGTACACATGTATCAAAACATCATATTATACCCCGTAAATAACATAATTATCGTTTGTCAATTAAAAAGAAAATAAAACTTTAAAAATCCAAAGCCTCAGGTGGGAACACGTGCCCTCAGATACCATGAGAAATTCACCATTTCTTCCAGCCCTGCTGTGTTGAGAAATGCTGAGTGTATGATAGAATATATTGTTTGCTAAGAAGATGGCAAGGAAAACCTAGCTGCCCCACCCCCCAGTGGAAAACTGCTTGGGGCATTCTAAAGTAGCAAAACAGTCTATGTATGTCATACACCAGTTAAAACAATTCTTTAAGTGCGGGATATCTGACCCGGCCCCCGTGGCTCCCTCGTGGAGAATACTTTTTAATTTGTCTGTGATCAGTGGTGAGCAGGCACCAGCTGCCTACCTAGTTTGCTTTTGTTCTGTGAGAAAACACAGAACACCTGTTTGTTAATAATAATCACCTGTTCAGAGAGACTAACTACATGGGTTAGAGTTTACTCGAGGCCCTCAGCCCAGAATGCTGTCAGCCCCTGAGGCTCTCAGCTCGGAAGGCTGTTGGCCCCTGGGGAGTCCCACTTTGCTGTTCTATCTGGGTGTCTGCTTCTTAATGCCTTCAGCAACGACTGGGTGGGGGTCTCTGTGGGTGAGCTGGTCTCGGTACTGCTGGGAGGCATTTCCCAGCTCTTGCTATGATGTCCCAAAGGTACCCCTGGCTGCACAGTGGCCCAGCGTAGGAGATGCTCTTCTAGGTCTGCAGGCCATGCACCATCAGTCACTTCACTAACGCCATGTCCTGGCATAATGAGCCATTGCCTTGATTGGACTCCAGGGTGTGACTTTTCACTCCTTCCTTCCTTTCTTCCAGTGTGTAAGAACATAAGAAATCTAGTCAGTTCTTTGTCCTTCTCTGCTCATAAAGTGATTGAGTTTGCTTTGGGGTCTTTTCTTTGTTTTTGTTCTCTGAAGTTATCTGGGGATGGAGGTGGAATATTCACAATCCAGCTTGTTTTTCCCTAATAGCAAAGAGTAAGTCAGCTTGACTACCATCGGGAGAAAATAAGATCCTTGGTGCTGGCCCTGCACAGTGGCCCACACCTATAATCCCAGCACTTTGGGAGGCCAAGGTGAGAGGATTGCTTGAACTCAGGAATTCCAGACCAGCCAGGGCAACACAGTGAAACCCCGTCTCTACAAACAATACAATTAGCTGGGTGTGGTGGTGTGTGCCTGTAGTCTCAGCCACTCGGGAGTCTGAGCAAGGAGGATCACTTGAGCCCAGAAGGTCAAAGATGCAGTAAACCATAATTGTGCCACTGCACTCCAGCCTGGACAGCAGAGTGAGACCCTGACTCAAAAAAACAAACAAAAAAAACACCTGGGTGTGGTGGCTATAATCTCAGCACATTGGGAGGCTGAGGTGGGCACATCACCTGAGGTCAGGAGTTCAAGACCAGCCTGGCCAACATGGTGAAACCCCATCTCTACTAAAAATACAAAAATGATCCCAGCTGTGATCCCAGCTACTCAGGAGGCTGAGGCAGGAGAATCGCTTGAACCCGGGAGGCAGAGGTTGCAGTGAGCTGAGATTTTGCCACTGCACTCCAGCCTAGGCGAGAGAGGAAGACTCCATGTCCCCCCAAAAAGAAGATTTTTGGTGCTTATTTTGCCATGATTGTAAATTGTAAACATTTTTGAACAATCCTAACTGGGTAGAGTAAAACATGAACTGGTTTTGTCTTTGTCTCCTTTCCCAAATATTCTCTTTCTCACTACCTAGTGGACCCCTTGGCACCACCACCAGCTTTGATTCCATAACTTCCTGAACGCCGTTAATTATTAAAGATGTTCTAGCTTCTCAAAGCTGTCTGTTTTCCCATCTTGTCAGGCTTGTAGCTCAAAGGAACTACAGTGGTCAGGACAGGGCCTTGAACCATTCTGGCCCTCTCCCTCCACCTTGCCTCAGAGTGCAAGGGCTGGATCACCTCTAGGATGCCACCTCCTCTTCAGCCTCCAGGCTCTAGCTGCAATGGGTGTTGGGCCCCAACTCACAACCCTAACAAATCCCTTCTCTCCTCTCTGAGAGGGTGGTGGGGTTGAGGGGGCTGGTTTGAGGCTATGGCTGCTGTTAGAAGGGCCAGCGCAGCCAGCACAGTGGCTCACGCTTCTAATCCCAGCACTTTGGGAGGTCAAGGCAGGTGGATCACGAGGTCAGGAGTTCAAGACCAGTCTGAAATCCCATCTCTACTAAAAATACAAAAATTAGCTGGGCACGGTGGCTCACCTGTAATCCCAGCCACTCGAGAGGCTGAGGCAGGAGAATCGCTTGAACCCAGGAGGCAGAGGTTGCAGTAAGCCAAGATGGTGCCACTGCACTCCAGCCTGGGTGACAGAGTGAGACTCCATCTCAAAAAAAAAAAGAAGGGCCAGCTCAACCCCTTCAGTAAGCTGCAAGCGTGATAGCATCCCAATTAGTGGCTGCCTTCTTTAGAATGTGGGGTACTTACCATGTTTTAGTCTCCAGCATTGGATCCTAAGCACCAATTTTGGGGCAAACAAAATCCCACTTATTAACCTGCTACAAAGTATAATGCCATCGCTCATGCCTTCTTCTATTTCCCCCACTGTGTTAGGCCACCAGACCCTGCCTCCATCATTGGGGATTACGTTTCAACATGAGAGTTGCAGGGAACAAATATCCAAACCATATCACTCACACACAGTTGCTTTGAGGGCTCACCAGAGGAATACCTGAGATTATGTAATTTATAAAGAAAAGAGGTTTAACTGGCTCACAGTTCTGCAGGCTGTACAAGCATGGTGCCAGTATCTGCTCTGCTTCTGGTGAGGCCTCAGGAAGCTTTTACTCTTGGTGGAAGGCAAAGTGTCACATGGTGAGAGAAGGAGCAAGAGAGAGGGAATAAAGCGTGGGGGAGGTCCCAGGCTCTGTTAAACAACCAGATTCTTAAACAACCAGCTATTGTGTGAAGAGAATAAGAACTCACTCATTATCATGGGGAGGTCACCAAGCTTTTCATGAGGGATGCATCCCCATGACCCAAACACCTCCCACTAGGCCTACCTCTAACACTGGGGAATCACATTTCAACATGAGATTTGGAGGGGACAAACACCCAAACCATAGCACCCACACACAGCTGCTGTGAGGGCTCACCTAGCCACGCTTTCCTCCCATTGGATCTGCCCGTTGTTCCTCTGCTCATGCTTGTTGCAGTGACCAGGGACGTACAGTGAAGGCTGAGTTTCTGCCTTAGAGCAGGAAAATCTTCACTACTGACAACAGGATAACTTTGTCCTTTTCAATAGTTTCTCTTCCCTTGAGTCTTGGATATGTATTTATGGGTGGGAAAAAATACCTTCAAAAGTTAACCACTTTGAATTCATCATCGTTAGAGCCTTTGTTTTAGCCAAATGTGATTTGATAACTTGAGTTCCAGACAGAAGAGTTTGCCCTTTCCAGAAAGCCACTGGTCTCTGCTCCCCAAATACCCAAATTGTGGGTTCCACTCTGCTACGTGGCTACAAAGCCATGCCAGCTTATGCCGTATATTTCTCAGTCTATAGTGAAACAACTTCTCTTCTAACCACCTCCTCTTCAGAGATTTCTGCTACAGGTTTAGCATCCCTAATCTGAAAACCTGAAATCCAAAATCCCTTTTTTTTTTTTTTTTGAGACAGGGTCTTGCTCTGTTACCCAGGCTGTAGCAGTGATATGATCATGGCTCACTGTGACCTTGATATCTCAGGCTCAGGCAATCCTCCCAAGTAGCTGGGACTGCAGGTGTGTGCCACTACACCGCTCTGACAATAACTTGATTTCAGTCCACTGAGACTGATTTTGGACATTTTTACAAAATCGAAAGAAAACAAATTTGTGTTGTTTTAAGCCACTACATTTGTCGAAATTTGCTGCAGCCATAGGAAACCACTACAGGCCTCCAGATAACTCAGGCATGGTTGAAGAATCCTAGGGTGAACACGGGGTGGGCTTGCTCCATCAGTTGCATCAAGGCCAAGGTTGCTTAGGCTCTCAATGCTTTGCTCATGGACTCAGTATTGGTCTGGGGCTTCATGATCTCACTCCAGGGATCTCATCAGCCTGTCTAGGGTCAGGTGTCCATCCCTTTTGTCCAGAGGATTAGAATGCCTTGATTGACCACGCTTAAGTTGGGTCAATCAAGTTGAGTTGGAATCAGAGGGTGAGCTCATTCCTTTACTTTCATTGGGAAAGAATGAAGAAAGAACATTTTCTCAAAGAAAAATGAAGGTGATATGACCAGAAGAAGAAACAATAGATGCCAGGCCAGCATAAAACCCAAGTGTCCCTCCTTCTTCCTCCGCATGTGGCTGGCGGTCGCAGAGCAGTGAAGCTCACTGTTGGTCTCCTTCGGGCCCTCCTCACATCACTGGAGCCATGGTGTTGGCCGAGACCTACGCGATGGTATCCTTCCTGCCCAACGGCGATTGTGGCCGCCCCAGGGCACGGCCCGGAGGAAACAAGGTGACGGTGGTGCTCGGTGCGCAGTGGGGCTACGAAGGCAAAGGGAAGGTGGTGGATCCACTGGTGCAGGACGCTGACATCATGTGCTGCTGCCAGGGAGGAAATAATGCTGGCCATACAGTTGTTGTGGATTTTGTGGAATATGATTTTCATCTCTTACCCAGTGGGATAATTAATCCAAATGTGGCTGCATTCATTGGAAATGGTGTGGTAATTCATCTACCTGGATTGTTTGAAGAAGCAGAGAAAAATGTTCAAAAAGGAAAAGGACTAGAAGGCTGGGGAAAAAGGTTTATCATATCTGACAGAGCTCATACTGTATTTGATTTTCATCAAGCAGCTGATAGTATCCAGGAACAACAGAGACAAGAACAAGCAGGAAAAAATTTGGGTACAACAAAAAAGGGGAATTGGGCCAGTTTATTCTTCCAAAGCTCAGAGTGGACTCAGGATGTGAGATCTTGTTTCTGACTTTGATGGCTTCTCGGAGAGGTTTAAAGTTCTAGCCAACAAATACAAATCTATATACCCCACTTTGGAAATAGGCATTGAAGGTGAATTACAAAAACTCAAGGGTTATATGGAAAGGATTAAGCCAATGGTGAGAGATGGAGTTTATTTCCTATACAAGGCCCTACATGGACCACCAAAGAAACTCTTGGTAGAAGGTGCAAATGCAGCACTATTAGATAGTGATTTTGGGACTTACCCTTTTGTAACCTCTTCAAATTGTACTGTTGGAGGTATTTGTACTGGTTTGGGTATGCCCCCTCAAAAGGTAGGAGAAGTTTATGGAGTCGTGAAAACTTATACAACTAGAGTTGGTATTGGTGCCTTTCCTACAGAGCAAGACAATGAAATTGGAAAATTATTACACACAGGGGTAGAGAGTTGGCGTTAACTACTGGAAGGAAAAGAAGATGTGGCTGGTTGGACCTCGTTTTGCTCAAATATGTTCATATGATCAATGGATTTACTGCGTTGGCAGTTACCAAGTTGGATATTTCGGACATGTTTATGGAAATCAAAGTTGGAGTTGCTTACAAGTTAGATGGTGATATCATACCTCATATCCCAGCAAACCAAGAAGTCTTAAATAAAGTTGAAGTTCAGTATAAGACTCTCCCAGGATGGAACACAGACATATCAAATGCAAGGATGTTTAAAGAACTACCTGTTAATGCACAAAACTATGTTCGATTTATTGAAGATGAGCTTCAAATTCCAGTTAAATGGATTGGTGTTGGTAAATCCAGAGAGTCTATGATTCAGCTCTTTTAATGATTGCCAGTAACACAAGAAACACTCCTTCAGAGGGAGGGGAAAAGACTTTCTTAAATATTTCATTTATCACCTGCAAATTTAAGAATAAAGACATTGAAGTGAGTTGGTAAGCCCTCCAGTTGTTTCCAGTCTTTTCAGATGGATGCCTGTTGTGGGGATTAACTTTGGCATATTCCAGTATTAGCTTTCCTTAGCTGGCATAATCACCAAATCATTTGTTGCTCCTGCTGCTCTCATGGTGCCAAGTTTCTTTTTTTAATGTTTAGTAATAGTATAATCCATGTTGTCTGAAATCTAAAGTAGAATTACTTTTAATGTAGTTTTTCTTCATTATTGTCATTATGTGTTCTTAAGTTTTACCCCTATTTTAGATGGTAAGAACAATTAATGCAGTTTTGCACAAATATTTTCACATTCTGATCATTCAGTTCTGTCGTTGTAATCTTTGTTGTTAGAAACAAAAGATGAAAACATAGGGGTTCCATAAACTTTTAAGAAGTCGAAACCCTGAATAGACCAATAACAAGGGCTGAAGTTGAGGCAGCAATTAATAGCCTACCCATCAAAAAAAGCCCCGCTCTAGGTGGGTTCACAGCTGAATTCTACCAGACATACAAAGAGGAGCTGGTATCACTCCTTCTAAAACTTCCAAACAATCCAAAAAGAGGGAATCCTTCCCAAATCATTTTATGAGACCAACATCATCCTGATACCAAAACCCGGCAGAGACTCAACAAGAAAAGAAAACTTCAGGCCAATATCCATGATGAACATAGATGCAAAAATATTCAATAAAATACTGGCAAACCAATTGCAACAGCACATCAAAAAGCTTATCCATCACAAGTAGGCTGCATCCCGGGGATGCAAAGCTGGTTCAACATACACAAGTCTATAAACATAATCCACCACATAAACAAGCAAAGACAAAAACCACATGATTATCTCAATAGATGCAGAGAAGACCTTTGACAAAATTCAACAGTGCTTTATGCTAAGAACTCTCAATAAACTAGGTATTGACAGAACATATCTCAAAATAATAAAAAACTATTTACGACAAACTCACAGCCAATATCATACTGAATGGGCAAAAACTGGAAGCATTCCCTTTGAAATCTGGCACTAGACAAGGATGCCCTCTCTCACCACTCCTATTCAGTATAGTAGTGGAAGTTCCAGCCAGAGCAATCAGGCAAGAAAAAGAAATAAAGGGTATTCAATTAGGAAAGGAAGAAGTCAACTTGTCTCTATTTGCAGACAACATGATTGTATATTTAGAAGACCCCATTGTCTCAGCCCCAAATCTCCTGAAACTGATAAGCAACTTCAGCAAAGTCTCAGGATACAAAATCAATGTGCAGAAATCACAAGCATTTCTATACACCAATAACAGACTTAAAGAGAGCAAATCAAGAACGAACTGCCATACACAATTGCTACAAAGAGAATAAAATACCTAGGAATACAACTAACGAAGGATGTAAAGGACCTCTTCAAGAAGAACTACAAACTACTGCTCAAGAAAATAAGAGAGGACACAAACAGATGGAAAAGCATTCCATGTTTATGGTTAGGAAGAATAGATATTGTAGAAATGGCCACACTGCCCAAAGTAATTTATAGATTCAATGCTATCCCCATCAAGCTACCTATGCCCCTCTTCACAGAACTGGAAAAAAAACACCTTAAACTTCATATGGAACCAAAAGAGAGCCCGCATAGCCAAGTGAATTCTAAGCAAAAAGAACAAAGCTGGAGGCATCACACTACTGGACTTCAAACTATACTACAAGGCTACAGTAATCAAAACAGCATGGTACTGGTACCAAAACAGAGATATAGATCAGTGGAACAGAACAGAGGCCTCAGAGGCAATGCCACACATCTACAACCATCTGATCTTTGACAAACCTGACAAAAACAAGAATGGGGAAGGGATTCCCTGTTTAATAAATGGTGTTGGGAGAACTGGCTAGCCATGTGCAGAAAGCAGAAACTGGACCCCTTCCTGACACCTTACACTAAAATTAACTCCAGATGGATT